CTATGAACATTTTCTATCAACAATCTTTATAACTGGCACATTATCTATCTATCTACTTCTCTCGCTGTATTATGTTCTTTTACAACTTGGTACACACTTGAGATACCACGGCTCTCCTGCCAGAAGACGAAAGATGAAAATCCCAATAAGCAAGCCATTACTGATAGAGATATGATACTGCACAACAATACATGACTGCTAAATAGCCTCTTTAGCACCAATTTGAAACATGACAAGAGACTTAACAAATAAATGACTGTCACCTCAGCCGGGAAATACAACACTTCTACATTGCTGAATCACAAAGATGAGCATGCAAAAATAACTAAATGAAAACAGTAACCACAGAAGGGATGCAGAAATGGAAATTTACACAATTGCATTTCCCCAACCAACCTCCCCTCTCCGCACTCCAGTCTTTTGAGAAAGGGGTCTCTCATCTCTTAAATCCTGTTTTTTCTGAGAATTAAATCACCATGACATCCAAGGGAGCAAAGTGGGGAGGTTAAGAAAAGTCACCATGACACGAGAAGGTTGTTTATAAGAGTAAGAAGAATCTGGTAAAAACAAACATGCTTAGGATGATATTTCAAAAAAAGCAAGTCCAAAGAATGTCTAAAGTTATGATGTGAAGGTAATAATAACTTGACCTGAAACAACTGAAATTGATCCTAAGACACATTATAGGATAATCCCTGAACTAGAGTAAATGAAAATGCAACTACACTATTCTAATGAATGAGCATTACAGAGCACGGAAAAAAAATAGCATTAATATGATAAGACTTTTTTCTAGTGGCAATATGTGAGAAATGGGAGCAAAGAGACACACACACCCTACCTCTTGAAAACAAGATGTCAAAAAATAATAATCACAATGTAAAGGGACTGAGTCATAAATACGTGGGAAGAAAAATGTCAGCCAAGTGAAGTGTTGAATAGCACACTTTGACTTTAAATGCACGTTTTATTCAGTAGAACATATGTCTACTTCCTCCAGCAAGGACATCAGAGCTAAGTTGCGGACTCTTCATTCTTGCTACCGCACCCGTGTCGACATGAGACGGATGCGGGATACATGTGGGATTCGGTCAACCCACCATTGGATACTTTGACCAGAGACCACGGACAAATTTGGGGGAAAATTTGATAAAATAGTTGTTGCTTCATGTTTCAAGCCACACATAGAGAAACTAAGAATTCAAGCGGTTGTGTTCTTACTTTTGGTAGACAGTAGCAACGATCTGTAAGGATAGCTGGTGGAAGGCCTTGAGAATCACTTTCTTTTTAATTTTTGAGGGGAAGAACCAGAGAGCTTGAAAGAAGAAGTTGGGGGTCTTGGAGAAGACGACCTATAAGATCTTTCAGAACTTAGAATATCTTTGTAGCTCTATTTATATATTTTGGATTTTTTGCCCGAATCCTAATACCTGTATCCATACCTAGATCCGTACCTCCAAATTGTAAAATTTAGATTTTGCCAAATCCGACCCTCGGATTCGCATCTGCATCCGATACCCGCACCCGAGTAACTTAGCATAAGAGACAGAAAAGGAATGTGAATATAGATGTTTAATGATTATACTTGTTTTAAAACGTAACGGTAATAGCGGTGAAGAACAGTTGTCGATTTCACTATAGATCGGTTAAGAATGCTTCAAGGACATAGCAACTAAGATAGATACTCTATACCAGCTGAACATTAAGTAAATGTTCAGTTGGTAAGAATTAAACAAAATTAACTATATGAATCCATACCCTCCTTGTCAACAACTTCTTGTACCTGTTTCCTTCAGTTTTCAAAAGAATGGATCCAGCATCATAATTGATAGTTCACCACTCAAGGATACAAAACGATAAGGTGCTAAAGCTAAGCCAAGCTGATGTTGAAGGAAGTGGATTGACTAGTGAAAAATCTTATTCAACCACATCTTTAGTTACATCTAACACCCTTCTACATAGATATTCTTGCTATAGACCTTGTGTCATATTTAATGTGGATGATTTCAACCATTTTTTATACACTATCAAGAGAAAAGTACTTCGAGGCTAATTTAAAGCAAATGATCAACAATCAAAAACATTATTTTCCGAAATTCCCATATATTACAAGGATGGGGCACTTGTAATTCTCGAATACTAGCATACAAGAAACTTAATGTAACAACTATGAATATGCAAGATTTGGAGAAAACCTCAGAACTCTACTCCATACTTTAATCGAGATCCTCCTGCCTCGGCTGCCCTCCAGAACCTGGGTTAGACTCCCCACTAGGAGCATTGTTGCTCGTATTGTTGTTGTTACGATTGTTAGCATCATTGCTTGCCCCTCCACTGTTGCTCGTCTCAGCAGGTGATCCAAGTCCCCTGAAAAGCCATTGCAATGGTATCCTAAGCCTCCTCTCCCCTGTACTAGGTGTCTGAGAATTGTCCTGATCTCCCCCACCTTCTAAACCCCCAAACATCACACCAGTATTGTTGTTGTTGGTATTATTGTTACTAGTGTTGGCATGCGTATTACTAGTATTGGCAGTCTGCTGCTGTGATGTCTTCCTATTCTCATAATCAGGATCATCAGTAGGCAGCTCATATCGACACACTGGGCAAGAATTGTGCAACTCCAGCCATGGCATTATACAATCCTTGTGGTATATATGTTTGCAAGGTATCTGCTTCGCCTCCATGCCGAGTTCAAAAGTATCTTTACAAACTGCACATTGAGATGAATCAGAATCCAACAACTCCTCAGTGATCTTAATATCTGGAAGCCCAGCAACAGCCGACTTTGCAGCCGGAGGTGTACCATGACGATTTGGATCATTTTCTGCAAGCTGTTGAATCAATTGCTCAAGCCCAGGTCCTAGAAAATAGTCACCTAGATTCCCCGGAATCCTAAAATCACCACCAGCTCCACCACCGCCTCCATCAGGATGATTCTCGAAGATTAACTGAATATTCCCACCCCTCATACTACTAAAATAGTTGTTTAGGAAAGCGAAAGGGTCAAATTGATTGGGGGATCGACCTGGTAAAGCAGCGGAACCACCAGCCATACCTCCAAATAAAGCAGAAAGATCATCAAAACCGACAGCACCACCGGCAGGTGAAGCAGCGTTTGAAGAGAAAACAATCGGAAATCCACCTCCGAAAGGTAGGTCATCGGTAGTAGCGGCGGAGAAGAAGGGATGAGTATTAGGATTAGGGTTGGAAGGTGGTGCGGTTTCCGATTCTTCTAAAAACGTACCGTTGCAATTTGGGCATGAGAGCTCTGAATTTGGTGATGGCGTAATGGTAACTGTCTGTTCACATTGGTAGCAATGGTAATTCTGTGGTTGATTTCCGGCAGCGCCTCCGCCACCAACTGCTCCGGCCGACGACATTCTTTTCTTACCAATATAGAGAGAGAGAAAGAAAGAAGAAAATGAAATTTAGAGAGAGAAAGAGAAGGAAAAGAGAAATTCGATGTGAGAGAGAGAAGTTAGGGAAATTGGAGAAATGGAGGAAAGAAGGAAGAGGGGCGCGTGGTATTTCAACTGCGAGTACAAATAGCTGATGGGATACTTTGAGTACTCGCTTTTTGAATGGGTGTGGATGGATGGTGGGGTCGGTGATAAGACAGGCTACAACCTCCGACTCCCAGGTTAATTAGTTAACAATCTTCATGTGCCTAACCTCTCAACATTTTTGGTATCCTCATTTAACTTGTGTTTGCTTTATTCACACCTATGTAATTTAGTTTCATTTATCATAAAAAATAAATGATTATTATTTTGTTAAACACTAACAAATCTATGTAATTTTTATGTATATTACACTTAATCATATATAATTGAAACCTATATTGAAATTTTAGTACTAATATGTTTGCATGCAGAAGAGGAAGAAAAGCGAAATGCAATTTTTTTCTTTGAGTTACCTAATATTAGATTTTGTACAAATAAAATAAAACGCAAAGCGACAACGAGTTAAATAGATGATTTTGCTGATTAATTTGTCTTTATGGTATAATAAAAATATTTTTGTATGATCACATCAACCTTGAAATCATAACATCAAAAAACAAATAATAACTTGCTAGACAAATTAGATTGCACTAATAATAAATTCATATATCTATACATTTCCTATAAATTGTGTCAGCCCAATTAGTGGCTGAATTAAGGGAAGTTCAAGAGGTTGCCATGTTGGGTCAATTCAAGTTTAAATTTTGTTTAATATGATTTGAGGTTCAAAATAAGCAACCCTAATAGTAAATATTCCTCAATTTCAAATAACTTATTATGAATTCTCGTGGATCATATTGCTTTGGAAAAACCCCTTTCAGTTATTTTACTATGATATAAAGTTAAGAGTATAAATAAATTAATCATAAATAATAATTGCACGAAAGGAACCCAAGAGGTTAGCAAGTTGGATAAGTAAGTATGCATTGTGTTTTAAGCCACGTGGCAAGAATTCACGTGAACTCCTTTTTCTGCTATAATAAAAAGAGTGGACCCTTCAAAGAAAAAAAAAATACTTTAGTCTATATGGTCCTTTCAATTCAATAAACCCCAAAGAGAAAAAAAAGGTTAAATTGAGTGAAACTTTTGCAAAAGATATGGAAAAGGTATTCTGAAATGAGTTTAAGTTTTATGCCTACATAATTTTTCACTATCATACGTTCAAAATAATATCTATAAATAAGTTTCTTTAGAATATGAGATTTGAAATTACTAAAACTAAAATGTCACCTGTTATAATAAGTTAAAATAATTTAAACAACACCAATAGTAAAAATCCAAAAACAAAAAGACCAAATACAGCCTATACTGTTCTTGCTAGACAAACATTATAACCAACAAATGATAAGTGCTTTTCTTGTGTGGATCTTATTACAATGGAAAAACTTGATGAGTCGATTCACCTAATGTCTTGCGTTTACTGTTATATATTGGAAGTTACTTGACGTATTACTGGTTCATCATTCAAGCTAGAACCATAGGATTCTTTCTTGACATTTAAAACCAACTGGAGCCAGGGACTTTCTTGACATCCCTGCTTTGCATCAATTCCCTCACAGTTCCAACTCCATCCCAGTTTTGCAAACCAGCAAATGTATTGGACAATAACACATAGATTGAAGGATCAACTTTGTCAACTTGTAATGCTCGTTCTGCTGCTCGTTCTGCAGTTTCCATATCCCCATGAAGTCGGGATGCCCCAAGCAACGTTTGCCAGACCAGCAAACCTGGTTGAAAGGGCATACTCAAGATTAGTTCCTCAGCTTCTCTAACACGTCCAACACGTCCAAGGAGATTCACCATACAAGCATAGTGATCTTCTCCGGGGAGAATCCCATAGTCATCACTCATTGATGTGAAATACTTCCATCCCTCGTCGATAAGTCCTCCTTGGCTGCAAGCATAAAGTACACATATGAAGGTAATGTAGTTAGGCTCTGCCCCTTCCTCCCTCATCTGATGGAAAATTTCAAGAGCTTTTTTGGGATATCCGTTTTGCGCATAGCCCATAATCATAGTGGTCCATGAAACAGTAGTGTGTTCATCCATTGACTGAAAAACCATGAATGCCCCATCCATGCTACCACATTTGGCGTACATGTCGAGCAATGCATTATCTACACAGACATCAATGTCATCCCCGAGTTTGATCCTCAAGCCATGAACTTTCTCCCCTTCTTTGAAAGAAACTGTATTGGCACATGCACTAAAAGCTGTTGCTAGAGTAAACTTATTAGGCATTACTCCTGCCCTCCTCATTTCTCCAATGACCCTGAGAGCTTCAATTGGCTCGTCACAATTCAAACACCCTGCTGCCATTTGCGTCCAGGAACAAATGTCTTTAAAACAGATCTCTTCGAATGCTTTGAAACCCTCACCCAAACTTCGATTTTTCAAATACATATCCACCAAAGAGTTCCCTACACACATCTCACTTCCATGACCAGACTTAACAAGCTGGGAATGTACTTGCACACCCAAATCAAGAACAAAAAGCTCTGCTAACCCAGTAAGAACACTAGCAAAACTGAAGTTATCTGGTACAACTCCTTCGTGGATCATCCTGTACCAAAGCCTTGGTACCTCTGAGCAACAAAATTGCATGCAACCACCTAGCATTGCATTCCAAGTAACAATATCTTTATTGGAACACCACTCAAAAACCATTAATGCTTCATCTAATCTACCGTGCCTTATCAAAGTCGTCAAAAAAGCATTCATTAAATAAACATTAGACTCGAATCCAAGTCTTGTAATTAGTCCATATACTTGGTATGCATTAGTCAAGCTTAATCTATCCTCAAACGAGCAAGCGTGAAGGGCACTCACGAAAGTGAACTCATTAGGCTTCGTCCCACTCCGGTGCATACGAGTAAACAGAGAGAAAGCTTCAACAGGGAAACCCTTTTGCACAAATCCAGCAATGAGGGCAGTCCAAGACACCACATTTCTGTCAGTCATTTCATCAAACAGTTTGAGTCCTTTCGCAGTGTCACCACATTTCACATAAGCATTTAGAAGATGGTTGTGTAAGTATAGCGAAGACCTGCCGCCTGGGTTTTTCAGCAGTTTCGCGTGAATGGCTTTGGCGTTATCCAATCTTGATGTCGCCACACATTGACGCAGAACATTCAAATATTCACCCTCCTCCTCCTCTTGGTTCTTGTCCCATATGACTGATGCTCTGTAGTTTTTCTTTGTTGTAAATTTAGAAAAAGATGTCTCATTATGAATACCAGTTAGTATTTCATGTAAAGCTTTGAACTTTTTGAGTTTTGAAGGAAGCATATGGATATTTTGTAAAGAAAACAAGAAATATATGTAGCTACAATATTCCTCATATATATTAATAACAACTAAAGTTTTGAATCAAAATAAACTCTTTTAAGTATTGAAAAGCACATCAATTGAGCAAGTAAAAGAGAAGTATTCATAGTATGCCTAGATCTATTAAAGCTTCGATATCAGATCATAATATAATATAGAATACAATCTAAGATAAAGTAATTGTGACTTTCCTGTTTAATATCTCTGTCTCCGCATCATATGCACTTCCATATAATTAAAAACTAGTGTAATTAAAGCCTTTCTATACATGCTCGCCCGAAGGATGGAACAAAAACTGATGGATATCCCAAGCATAATATCGGTGATGGCCAACATACATTGCTAAACCAAAGGAGAAAAGAGTGATTTTTTTATGCCTAAGCAAGTGGAACTAAGCTCGTTGTATATGGAACCACAGTAGCACAAAAGAAAGGCTTTGGTGCAAGAGCAGAAAGGCTGCAGAGGTGTCGCATCTTCTTCGTCTCAAACTGATACAAGTAGATATCAGCTGCAACCCTCATAAGCAAGATGTTGTCCTTGAAAGCTAGAGTCCCGATCCAAGGATACCCTGAATTGTAGTCTCTTGCCAACTTTTCAGCTATCTTGAATAGATACTTGTTGTTTTCTTTTTCCAGCAATTCCAAAGAGATCGTAAAAGTAAGATCCCATTGAGAAGTAAAATGATCCTTCAGCACCCACAATTGAAGTCCGTGCTCAGATATTAACACATAATGTAGCTTCCCTTCAGCTTCTCCCATGCACATCTCGGGTGTTAAATTGAACTGGTTGGTGGGAAGTGGTACCATTATCAACCAAGATATCTCATTTTCTGGATCAAACATAAGGATTTCGTCTCCATCAGTAAGCCAATACAGAATCCCTGTTACACAGATGCATCCCTTTTTCTGCATGTTGTGATTGCAAAGACAAATCTCTCCGGATATTCTCCATTCTCCTGTTTCTGATGAATAAATGTTAAAAGAGAAACATCCATCTCCTTCTGTGCTGGTTTCATTTTGGCTAACTATCACAACCTTAAAACTTGTGAATGCATCAATCGGGTTCTTGAATGGATCAAAAACCAAGGTTATGCAGCTTTCTCTGGAAGGATTTGGCCACTGAAGTTCTTTCCACTCCTTATTCAGCGGGTTACAGATGTAGATTACAGGAACATCACAAGGAAAGCTACTTCGACAACAGATTAGTCCATAACTTGAATCCTGGATGACAATACGTTCTGGGAGGAAATCAAGAACATCAATATGGACTTCCGTGGTAACTCTTTCTATAGGTATGAAGCTGATCCAGTCATAATCTTCATCACACCACTGGTACCTACCCTGATAGAAGAAACCCGTGAGAGGTTCCATCTTTTTCAACTGTCCTTGGATGAAACTACGGTCAGACATAAGACATTGCCATCCCTTTGATACACACTTCAATTTCAGCAAATCCTTAGTAGACAATTTCGGTAGTACTTCATATAGCATGTCACTGCTTGGAAACCAAATTTCCTTTTTCATCTTCACAACCCTGACATAATTCAATTCTGTTAACTAAAAAATAGTTGGGATAATTCAAACTAGAGGAAAACGCAAAATCACGTGTGACAAAATTTTAGAGAAGTACAATAATCAGGGATGCAAGCAGAGCTACTTCTACATAATGAGTGGATTAACAACTGCAACAAATATCAGAGAAATGATCCACATTGAAAGATGCAGAATCAGCAAGAAATCCACAACATTTTCAGATATATGGGTAGCAAATAATGACAGTTGCCAATAGAACCACTCACAAGCTATATAGTATAAGCAGAATACCTGACAAACTCGTATTCATCATAAAACATCATACAGAAGTGAATTGGGATATGAGTATCAAATACCAATGACATCATCATTTAACAAGACTAGCTAGCACAAAACTTGAACACCACACAATAGTATAGTTCTTCATCCATTGAGTTCCTTTTAACAATTTTACATATATGGAAGTTCGTTGTCGCCATTTTCAAGAAACAGAAATAACAATATGTATCTACTATGTCCACACATTGCTAGCAAACCCCTAACCTTCCCAGTAACCCTATTGCTCCCAAACAGAACTGCTTCTTTTTCTTAGTTTCAACTAAAGATCAATACATAGCTCTGTACAAGTAAGCGATTTCATTAGCCCATAATGAACAAAAACACAGCTCAGTTCATCCCATATCTCTCCACCCCCTAAATCACACTGCTGAAAAAGTAAATGTAAAGATTAATGAAGCAAACCACATTGTAAAACAGAAAAAGTTGTAAAGATTCAATCTTTTCAAAAGAACACCACAAATATTTGCCAGACCCAAAAGGGTTTTTTGCATTAGAAATAAAGAGTTGAAAACAAACCTTGTATTCTTTGAGAAAACTTAGGAAGAGCTTCAAGAAATTCTCAAAACCAACTAAGCTGCCATATTTCCCTATTCATGTTCTCTGTGTGCATTGTAGCTTGCTTTCACTTTTACATGCAAAAACAGAAATGGTGTCTCTCAGAGTGGCACTGAGATATTGGTAGTGGTAAAGTAGGAGGGCACAGACTCTTCAAATGGTGCAGAGGGATTTGTACTAGTTATTATTGTGACAACAGACACAAAGGACAATCCCACTGCCTACATTTTATCTTTCTTTTTTGGTTTTGCCTTTTTATTAGTATCAGGTTATTTAATTTACTGGCAGAAAAAAATAATGCAACCATTATTTATATATTCTATTTGACATTACAGTATTTCCTATAATGGTTTATTGCATGCATTAGCCTTGATAAAAGATATAATTATTTCTCTAAAAAAAAAACATTCATCATATTTGTGAAGAATATTTTTATATTAAATTTATGATAATTTCAATATATCAAACTAAACAATGCATAAAAAATAATGTTAATTTCAATATACTAAATCAAATAACGCATAACTAATATCAACATTACTAATATATTATGTTTAACATTACTCCTACCAAATGACCCTAGATGCATGCGAAGTTTGTAACCTGAAAAAGAAATGCAAGAGATCAATATAAAATACTACTCTTTGTCTCAATTTAAGTGTCTTAATTTAATTTACAATTTAGGTTGTCCCAAAAAAAGTACAATATTTTTTATATTTAAACATTCTATTTGACAACTTTAAAACTACAAGATTCAAAGGACATTTAGTACTGTACACATCTTTAATTTAAGATCATAAGATTTAAAAATCTCTTTTTATTTCTTAAATTTCATGTCTAATCAAATTAAGACACTTAATTAAGACCGGGAGAGAAATATAATCTAACCGTCTCTAATTTGAGATTCAAGTTTCATTAAATTGATATACTTATAATTTCCTTATCGTTATAAGTATGATTTTGATTTTATGCTTAAATTTAAAAAAAAGATGATAATGTAAAAGTCTTTCCTTCTTTTTGCATTTTTATGACAATTCAATCGTTAGAATTTCACTTTTATAGTTTTGTATTGATTTTAGGTTGGGCATTTTTGACTGACTATGCAGTATAATATTTTCTTTTTTCAATTGGAGTATTGGACGTGAATTTGATCTGTATTTTCAGTAAGTAGTGACTTTATTATATCTACTTCTACCTTCTTTGAAAACCTAACTTTATTGGTGATTATTGAAGTATTGGTTCCACAACGCAACAAAATGTATCGCTTTTAAATAGAGTCAAAATAGTTTCATCATCAGGCTTAAGATCAGTCTTTCATTTTTTATATTATAAATTGGGAGAAAGTTACGAATTACGATCATATACATCTATATATTTTTTTTCTACGTGGAAATCGATAAAGACACGGTACATATTATGTGCTCTAATACGATACCTCCTTTAGTATACCTATGCCATTAATTAATTTCACTTTCATACTTTTGCATTAATGATCTTTTAGATAGGTTAGATAAATTTTTGTGTTGTTACGTTATTGATTTCCATTTACCTCAAATTGAGTAGTATTAGGCGTGAAAAGGAAAGTCATGAAGTTAATAATGCACGTATATAATATGATTGAATTTATCATCTTATACGTGATTAAATTTATTAAGCTCGATAGAAGACTGAAAAACCAAAAAAAAGAGAGAATAATGTAAACAAGGAAAAAAAGAAACAAAGATGCTAACCATACAAATTCCATTGACACTTGCCACTTGGATGATTATACTATATAGTTGCAAATAGAATAAGCACAGAGGTAATTTAAAGTCACTCTATTTAACATTTAATCATTACACAATTAGATGGATCCAAGAAATCAGAAATGTGACTTAATTGGATCAGATTAAAAATATTTCTTTGATCTATTTTGTGTTGTAAATATTCAAATAAATATCTGACGAAATAGAACCATCTCTATCAAGATGATAGATTATTCTCTGTAATATCAATAGGATCACTTATAACAAGTCACACACTCATACTACGTAAATACAATAACAAAAAAATTTCACGATCGAACTATCAAAAGAAAATAAAATGGACTATAAATGGGAGCTCTAAATGATTCATTTTGGGGTGTTCAAAAGAATGGACTAAGAATGAGTTCAGATTAAGTCAATTTCATTTTAACATTTAATCATTACCATTAGATGTGCCTATTTTTAATTAAACAATTTCATCAAACTAATTAATCAACAGTAGAGCATGCAATAACATCGCAATAACTCGGCATTAGAAAAGCAAAAACACGATGGAATTTATAAGTCGACGATTAATTATTTCTTAGGAAAATTGTAAGAAATTGAGTATTTTCACGAAATTAATGGAAGCAGACACAACTTCAAACTAAACACAGTGCCTTGCAGTGACAATTGAAAGTTGTTGCATGCTCTCGAGGTCACCATGTCATGATCCATTTACGCGAAAAATGTTCGAACACATCGAGACTTAATTGAGTATGAGTCACACCCTAGCTTATCCATTGAGGGTTCATCAATAAAATTGTGTGAAGAATCCATTAACGCGATTATGACACTCAAACATCTCTTCCCATGATACCCAGTCACGCATCCTTCAATTCGTATGGCTCATCAGTAAATTTTACCATAACATCATCTCATTTTATTTGTGGGTTTGCTACTTTGCTTCTTTAAATTCCTTCAACATTAATCTCATTTGTAGCATCCCTTTTTATTGCAACAAAATGTCCATGCATAGATTTTAGGTAGACTTGGGTTAGTTAGATCTTAAATAAATACTCTTATAAAAGAACAAATAACAAATAAAGAACGATATTTAGTTGGGCTAGTAGGGTGATGACTCGTTATCTTCCGTAACAGTTTTCAAGCCTTTGATTTTCTAGGGCTTACATTTTGTATCAAATTGGATTGTATTTTAAAAAAAAAAAAAAAAAATTGGATTTGGATTATTTCGTTTTTCAAATTCGAATACAAAATACATATAAATATAGTATAAATAATTTAATAGACTTAGTTAATTAAATACACATTCCATTCTAAAATATTTTTTAAAAGAGAGTTTTGTGTCACAAAATAAAGAAAAAACATTGCAATGAATATATAAGTGGTATATTTGTTCAGTTTAGATTGAAAAATATTTTTGTTAGTTGTTACACTAAATGCGAAATAAGAGAAGATGGTGTAATATTCAAAATCAAAAGGAAAACATAGGGTATAAAGTGAAATTTCAAGGGAGGTTTAAAAAATTATCCCTAAGAATAAAAACAGGTAAGTTGACCGCAAATATAAGAAATGATAAATGTAAACGGTTTTCAATAGTACAAGAATAAATTTGACCCCCCTTCAATCTTCATGAATATATAGGTGCACAAATAAGAGGGACAGGACAAAACTCAGATGAAAATGGAACAATAACAATTAACAACCCCTTGACAATCAAACTACCAGAGAGTTATATGTGAATCCATACATTGCAACAACTTAACAAGCAAGAACTCAAATGAATTCATAACTCAAAATGGCATACAACAAGTTGGGCAGAAAACAGAAACAAATAGGCATTAATAGAATGATAAACCCTATTTACCATCCTTAAGAATCATGAGTAACTCATTCAAAAACGCTTGGGTCGTCGGCCTCTAACTGATTTTTTGAAAGGCATGAATTTCTTCTCTCCTCCATGTAGGTACAACTCCAAACCAGCAGAACTAATTATAACTTTCTCAAGGGTCCCTAGCCATTCCCCTCCTAAAACCATGTCATATTTCGACGACAGTGGAAGTAGATATACTTTCAAATTAAACACAGTGCCTTCCATTGACAATTGAAAATTGTTGCATACTCTGGAGATCACCATTTCCCCCAAATCTGAGCGAACAGTTTGAGGCTGGATTGGAACTGTCTCACAACCTAACATATCCGCTAAGGATTCATTGATGAAATTGTGCGTAGTCTCTTCTTCCCCCATTAGCACAGCCAAGGGTATCTCCCCATGATACCCAGTCACGCAGAATCCACCGTCCACTGATAACTCCATGTCTATCTCAGTAGGAACAACATCTACAATCGGAA